AGAGACCAGAATGCACGGGTTCCAGAAGGAAGACGAACTAGTCTCTCGCCAATTCTGCCTATGTGCTCTGACTTTGCCTTGGCAATGACTCTTTTGAAGGACCTAGAGGCGGAATTATACTTCTTTTTTAGAGCGCTGGTGTTTACATCCCTGGACGCTGATGCATCAGCCCAGGCTTGGTAGCACTCCTGCTTATAGCATGATGCTATTTTACAGGAGCGACCAAACCATGGCTGAGATTTGCCTCCAATGGGCACCACAGAGGAAGGAATAAAAAGTTCCATACCCTGAAGTACCACATCAGCGACAGAATCCGCAACAACGTTGGGATCATCCGGCGAGAAGCAAACCCGCCCCCAAGGGTAGGATGCAAAGAAAGACCGCATCCCATCCCAATCGGCTGACCTATAGTGCCAAACACGGCGGCAGCCTGCAGAATGCAACCGCGATTTCAGCGTGAGTGGCACCACACTCCGGACAAGACAATGGTCCGAGGAGCCTAAAGGGGCGTCGACGGAAATCTGATATCCGTCCGGGTGAGAGGTCAGCAGAAGGTCCAACAGGGAAGGTGCATGATCCTCCACATCTGGAATCCGCGTAGGCGAAGTAACCAGTTGTGTCAGACCATATGCCAAGGCAAAATCATGAACAGATCTCCCCGCATGATCGGTTAAACGTGAACCGAGCCATTCGGCGTGATGGGCGTTGAAGTCGCCGAGGATCACGATCTCTGCGGAGGGGATCTGCTGTAGCAACGAATCTGCAGCCATTTGGACGTGGTCGAAGAGTCGGTCTGTTTCGGCATTACCGCTATGGGACCTATAGAGGCACCCGTAGACGCGCGGATGGTCGTCGCTGTCTACGCGTAGCCAAAGGATGGACAGGTCCGAACCTTCAAGTCTGTCGAGGCGTCGAGAACAGATGTCCTCTCTGACGTAAACGCAAACTCCAGCCCGAGGCACAAAGGAGTGTTCCAGTTTGTACCCCGGGCAGGAGAGATACGAGACATCAGCCGGAGAGGACACCTGCGTCTCGGTCAGAAAGAGCAGAGCCGGCCTCGCCGTCTCGAGATGGTAGTGGACGGCGTTTAGGTTAGAGTGAAGTCCCCTGATATTGCAGAAATTCACGGACAGCGTGGCAGGGGTCGCCTTGGTCTTGTTGCTCCGTTTGCCCCGAGCAGTTTTAGTCTTGAGCGGAATATTGCCCCCCCCCAGAATACGCGGGGCAGCCTGAGCACCCACGCTCAGAATTGGAGAAACATGGTCGTGGATGCTCAGCGAGGGATTCTCCAGGGGTGCTGGTACCCTCCTGGGGTAGTCTATCATTTAATTCCGCTACCATGTTGATGGGGGGGGGGGGATTTGGGCCTCCGGCCACCTGCACTCACCAGACGAAACGCGGAAGCAGAGCTTCCACTTCACGCCGGTATTCTGTGAGGTCGTGGTACCACCCCGGTTTGAGCCGGCCCATACGTGCGACAGCAAAGCTGCCGCGTGGCTCTACCACTGTTACTATAATACATAATCTGAACCCTTCCCGTCATTGCACTGACACTGGCGTTCCTCTGACGTAAATCGACTATCCTTCCATTGATAAAATAATATGTCGGTTCAGTGACCCTAGAGCCGGACCGACAGGTCGCAAAACCGGTGGCGAGCCTTGCCGCTAAATATAGAAGTACATACCACCCTCGCCCCATGCCATCTGCTCTGAGTAAATAAATAAAAATACACTTCGTTAATAATTCAGGTGGCAGACGAGCGCCGTCTGCGCATTTAAATGTGAAGGGATCGTCTAACCATTTCTTTTTATTTTGACGGCATCTTAAATGGTTCTTTAACGATAATTAAAATATGCACCTAGTACTCGTCTGCTAATCAGCACTCGGCTTATTCGGGACAAGAGATGTGATATTATAAATATAAGTAAATGTTTATGTCTCTGTAGTACGAACATTTTACTATCAGTAGTAGAAATATTAAGCTTTAGCTTGCTTGGACGAAACGAAGTCTTTGTGTTCCTATATAAAAATACTAGTAGAAATAGTAAAATAATTTCCTATGCCAAACATCGCTATTACTGTAATTTCTTTATTTGGGTATTTTTTGATACGGGTGTGTTTCGCCCCACATACCTCAGACTGCGCAATTATCGCTTTGTATTTATCTGGATCGGGGGAATATTCCCCCGATCCAGATAAATACAAAGCGATAAATCTAAGAAACGAAAATTCTAAGTAGCAAAAATCGAAGAATGTTTAATTATGCACAAGAAGACATATTGGATATGTACTACAGCCACGTTATTATTATGCAGAAGAAGACATAAAGGTGCACTGTAAAAGTAAGTAAGCAGTAAAATATTAAAAATAAAATACACAGTAATTCATTGATTAAAACTACTTTTACGGATTTTATCGAATTTAATTTATTTTATTTTAAGTACCCTACGTTTCGCGTGCTTTCCAGCACCCATGGTCACGAGGGACAGACATGACTGACGTCCCGATGTCAGTGTTAACCCGGAGTACCTTCAGCTTTTTAACATCGGGACTTCAGTCAACTCAGTCCCCCGTGACCACGAATGCTAGAAAGCACCAGAAACGTTGGGTATTAAAAATAAAATAAATTAAACGCGATAAAATCCGTAAAAGTAGTTTTAATCAATGTGTAGTGTTCGCGTAAATATAAGAAATCATCACAGTAATTCATTTATAAGTAATGTCCTTCAGACCGGTTTCGGTCACGACGGTTCGTCTCAACCTCAACGGAGACAAGCCTACGCAGGACAGGATTATAGTGCCCAAGTGTATGTGCAAGCACAGGTGCACTCTCAATGAGACAGTGTAATCAGACACGACCCGAGAGTTTAGGCGCAGGACAAATGGCTTACGCGCTGTCCATGGCACGGGGGTGAAACACCGCCAACTACCACATTCCGGGTTGCTACTGTGAATTTCTTACAGAAAAACCCAAAATCTGATTTTGGCCCGACCCGGGATTCGAACCCGGGATGTCATAATCTGCAATCGTGTTTACCGACTATTAAGGTGATTAGACCAACAAGACAGTCATCATATAAAAGTATCAATGTAGAAAATCGCCATATAGTTGCGGCGTAAGAAATTCTACTACCCCATATCCTCTGGAAGTCAGATCATCGGAAACAGAATATGGGCAGCAGCATATTGCTAATAAAAACTCATCAAAATAATAAAAACTATGATTAACAACCCATCTGCCAAATGTTTGCCACACATTGGCAAACATCCCTCCTATGATGCAATCTATGGGGGAGGTCTATGTTCAGCAGTGGACTTCCGAGAGGCTGTAATGCTGATGAATTTAAAAAATACCAGAAAACCATTTACAAATGTATAGTTCATTTCTACTCTTATAGACTAACATTGGTCTAATAAGGCATAAAGACTAATTTAATTTTTCTTAATGTTATCAAGATCCTTTCCATCTTCTTTATCATCAGCTCTTAACAGTCTACAACTGTAGGCCCCTCACAATGTAAGAACCTTTACCAGTAATATTTCAGATACATTTTAGGGTACCTTTACAGTAAATATTTTAGAGTTAATTATCATTACCCAGGTAAAACTGAATTTAACATTGTAAATAACAAAATTGGGTAAACATAAAAAGTACAACAAATTTTTAATATACTATAAATATGTAATATGAAAGACATTTGAGAGCACTATATAGATTTATATACATCAATAATGCAATTTTAAAATGAGAGGTAGATAATTTAGGCAGTAAATTGAAGTATAATTCTTATTATATTATGAATATACTTATTTGTCTTTTTTACTCCATTCATCACAATTCAATACAGCCTATCTAAAGTCCGCCACTGAAAATAAGTTCTCCACATAGATTGTCTCATTGCAGGACATTGTCTATAGTTGACAATTGCTTTTTATTATTACTTTGTGCTGTTATCAAAAAAATCTTTTACCCAGCCTCTCTGTTCGTTTATTCATTTTTTTGAAAAAAATAAAAAATAAAACACCCATGGTATGCTATGGACGAGTAGTTTGTCTTACTCCTCCACTATGTGGCATTTATTTAATTCTGGATGATTGTGTACAGGTATAGGAATTGATAATATATTAAGCGCCATTGAAAACTATGCCCATGTTCACACAACTGACCAGAAGGGTTGGTGAGGATATGGCTACCCTATAAAATAATCTAAATAATGCTGTTCCCTATCATCACTCATTTGAGTCAGTATCGTTTGAGTTTGGCATTTTTGTCATTTTCAATGTGTAGTGGCTACAGTTGTATAGGCTACAGAACATGCCAAAGAAATAAACACACACACACACAAACACACACAATATATATATATATATATATACACACTCAAAATACATTACCCCCTTTATGGGGTACCCAGACAAAAAAATGTGAGGATTGATGTGATTTTGCATCTCCCATCCAACACAATGAAATTCCACCAAGATAAAAAATTATAAATATAAAAATTCTTCATTAGTTGAATATGAATTCAAAAGCAACTAAGATTGTACTTAAAATATTGTTAATTACATGAAACATATTTATACAACTATGGATTTATATAATTAATTAAGTTCATCTCTAATAAGGTAGGTAGGTAGGTTTTATTGACAAAACATAATTTAAAAGTGTGACAGAAACTCTTAATCCTTATATAATATTGATATGAATGCCAATGCCATTAATTTGTATTTTTATCTGATAACCTTGATTATTAACTTGTATTTTAAATGCAAACACGATCCAATTTAATCATATTTTTGTTTAATAATTGATTTAATACTGTTGAATAGTGTTATTTCAATTAAAAACTCCATAAAACCATCTTGGTTTACAGAAACTTAGTAAGGATAAGATAAGGTATGGTGTAACTTTATAAAACCGTATAAATAATAAAACATAAAATAGTCACTGCAATTTGGTGATAATAATATTTTATCCGTTAAAAATAAAATACCTTACCTTTAGCGACATTTTGGATCTTCAATCGATTTTTAGCTCACATATGGACATAAACAAACATTATTTAGTTCAAATATTTAATTTTGCACTGCAAATTAATATTTCGTCGCTCTTATTTTTATATCGTAAAACGTAATTACATAACTATACAATATATAATTTTTATTTCAACAGCACTCTAAAAGTCATATGTTTAAGGACCCGAATCTTTCGCGTAGTATTATTTTATGACGATACAACACACGCGTGGCTACTACACAGGAACATTTCCATAATAAATTTTTTTCCTCCGTACCGTATCATGGCCCAAGAAATTTGACAGTTTGACTTTGACGTCAGTGGTCCATGCATTGTTGCCATATTACGAAATGTACGGGTATAAGTAATGAAATTTTATAATATTAACATTGCATTACAAAATTATATCAAATTCTTAAAATTTGTTAAATATTCTTTCTTTCCTAATTTATTCATATTTTGTTTTTTGCTTTAAATAAATCTAAGAAAACAGTAGTTTAAAGATTTACTGCCATCTAGCACACATACACTTACCGAGCAAACTGAATAGCGTGATTGAACGCTAGTTCCTCTAAGTATCAATAGATGGCGCATATTTTTAAGTCTTGAAAGACCAAATTTTGGTTTTATCATCCATTTAATAAAAGTTAATCAGATTTAAGCACTAAATATAAATTTAATATTCTATGTATTTTGAGTTACATAAAATGAGACTACATCTTTTATAAACATAATAAATATAAGTAATAAGGGAGGCTACATCATAATGTAGCCTCTGCCTCCCATTCTGTGTTATAGGCATGCTTCCCTCATTGGGCTACATAATGAAAACTTCTATTTAGCACGATCATGACACCAGTCTTGCCTCTGTCACGTCCATATAGGCATAGAAATACATATAATACACCGCATAACACACTACCTAAGCCTTGGTAGCTAAGGCGCAAAGCAGTAGCTGTAAATCTCGTTGTAACATTAGTTTGATCACCGCCGACACCAATGAAGTTGTTAATTGCAATTTTAAGTGCCGAGAAACAAAAAAAAAATGATTTCAAAGACATGTGAAGTTTGCCAACACGTATGACACCCAAAACACTCTCATAAATGAGAGAAGCCCTGAGGAACCAATCCTCATAAAAGAACACCAATTTCTACCAAGAATAAATCGCGAGGTTATTGATTAAAATAAACATACTAAATTCAATAGAGAAGAAAGATGGCTACCATATGCATGGGACCCTATAATTAATAAAATTTAAATCTATTTTATTAGGTATGGTTACACCAATGCAAGACTTCAAGATACTGTAAGCTCGTTCTGTATATATGGGATCAAAAATTAATATTCAAAAACTAAACGAAGCCGAAGTGGTGAAATATTGTGCTGAAGACGTATGCTCCAGAGTTAGCACAAGTTCTTACGCCTCTTTTCCGGGTCTCTTACTCTTTAGGCATCGTTCAAAGCTTATGAAAGACATTCTTAGTACGCTCAATCCCTAAAAACGGTGACCGCTTGGACTCGTCCAACTACATGACTGTCGCCATTACCTACTTGTTCACCAAAATAACGGAATCTATTATTAACTGCCAGATCATGAGGTACCTGTAAGAGCATCAGCTGATTAGTGACCGTCAATACGGTTTCTGTCGAGGTCGCTTAGCTAGTGATCTCCTTGTTTACCTGCCTCACTGATGAGCGGAGGCAGATGAGACCAAGTGGAAGGCCTTGGTGGTAATTTTGGACATAGCGAAGGCTTTAGATTAGATTTGGCACAAAGTGTTTTTTTTTAAAGCTTCCCTCTTATGGGCTTCCCAAGAAATTATGCAATTGTGTCACCAGTTTTTTTTACAAATCGGAGTATTGAGGTCGTTGCTCAGCAAAGTGGGACAGTATTTCATGCGGACAAACCGCTTGCAACTTTACAAGGCGCAAGTTCAGCCTTACATAGAATACTGCTCTCATCTCTGGGCCTCATCCCCCCACAAGTTTTCTCAGCCAGCATCAGAATCCTTAGCATCGATATTTTGAAAAACGTGCAATGCCGTATTCAACGGAGAGCGACTTGAATCGTTGACGACCAAATTCATTGCGACCGGCTTGATTCACTGGCCTTATAAAGAGACGTTGCATCTCTATGTATTTTTTACCACGTATACTATGGGGAATATTCAGAGAGCTTGTTCGGATTGATTCCTTACACTGCATAATACTTACTAATCTCAATGGCTGGTGTTCCACTATTGTACGATTTACACGGTATTTTCTGCGTCTCACGACCATACTGTGGAATAAGCTTCATCGCGCTCTAAGGCATGTGCCAGGTTTACCTGATAATTTGCCACTGGCTATATTTATTTTAATGTATTGTTATTGTTGCGTTGGTTGGTGGCAGTTTCTCTTTATAAATAAGGTAACACATAATGCTTAACAGCAAGTTTCTGCAAGTCAACCCACCACGGAATGAAATATTGTGGTGATTATATTGTTACCTACGTTACTAATTTAAAAATATTGTTAAATAATAAATAAATTATAACTTGAACTGGCAGTAACATAGGAATCTCATTAAACACAATTTTCAAATTCGATTAACAGTAATTGAGTTGCTTTGAAACTTTTATTGCTTAAGTACAGTTAGAATCAATATCTAAGTGATCATGATCATTGAGTTATTTATCGTCTTCCCTCTCTTCTCTTGTAACATTTTTCATCAAATGGGTTTTTACAGCTTCTAGAGCAGTTTTCGGATTGTATTTGTCAGGATGGGCTACTGTATAATGGGTACGCAGATCTGTAGCCATGTTAGTGTTATATTTACAATCAGGACACTCGTATAAATACAATCCTTCATGCCGGCCGCTTCGTAGTACATGTTTGCGGAGGTTTTCCTAAAAAAATATTAAATAATTAACTATAGACATATATGAAAGTTTTCATCTACAAAGTTTGCAGTCATCACGCTTTGAAGCAATGAATCACTGCCAATACAATTAAACTAATAAATACAGAAAACGATTGTTTGGATGTGTGTAAAGCAATATCAGAAAGTAATGTTTTAATTATTACTAGCGACCCGCCCCGGCTTCACATAGATAGCAATTAATTAATTATTATATTATAAATAATTAATAATTAATTATTGTGGCGTTATTTAGATTTAGGGTAATCAAAGAACATTTATCGACGTTTCGTTTTTACAAAAAAAATCTTCAAGTTTTTCAGATAAATTATAGACTACATCCCTCCATTGTAATAATATAAACTTAGATCATTCCTTGTATTGCTCTCTATCTGATGGCAACATTTCATCATAATTGGTTCACCCATTCCGAACATTAGCCTGGACAGTCTGCCTGTCTGCCAAACAACCAAATTTTTTAAATTGGTTATATCTTAATGGCATGCAAATATGGCTAATTGAACCCAGTTATTCAGACAGACATTTCAATTTTGTTTCTATTATCTAGGTATAGGTTAATTAAGTGTGCATGGTCTGCAATAGTCACTGTAATTGGGTGATTAATTTTTTATAGGATAGGTGACAAACGAGCACACAGTCCACCTGATGGTAAGTGGTTGCTGTAGACTATAGATATCTACATCTATCCTCGATCACGAATCAAAATGCAAATGCGTTGTCACCCGTGAGGACTAAGATGGAATGCCTCGTTTCCAGTAAAAAGGGTCTCCTGTTCTCTACACTCACCATACGAAACAGCAGCATTAAGATACTATTTTACGCTGGTATTCTGTGAGAGCGTGGTCCTTCCCCGGTCAAGCCAACGTATTCGTGCTACAACCATACTTCTAATATAACTGCAACATGGCTATATCACGAAAAATACTATACTAAAATATTAATACGTTAATAATACAAAAATATTGTGTTTTTTTTTAACTTACTAAGCTGCCACAGGTAAACTGGCAATGCGGACAAGCATAGGGTTTTATTCCCTCATGGCACATCATATGCCTCTTCATGTGACTCGCCTGGTCGCTGCTGAACGTACATATTGAACATTTGTGATTTTTAATATTTTCACCGTGTGCTCGGCGATGCCTGCGTAGAAAACAATTAGTATAAGATATGTGCTGTTTATATTTTACGATAGGATATCTACCTATTTAAACGGAAATTTTAATTGCCAACAAACTTTTTAGAGTGTTATCTTACGTTATATTAAAGAATTGTTATCACAGGGTACATTATGCCTGGAAATTATTATTGAGTAGACTATGTCCAAGAATTGTATGTAATATACATTAGATGGCGCTGTAGCAAACGTAATTCAATGCAGTTAGAATGGTACTGTAGTAAATTATTAGATGGCGCTGTAGCAAACGTAATTTCATAAAGATAGAATGTAAAATCCGTTACAGCCTGTAAAAGGTCAATTGCTAAAAATAAGCTTCCATCATAGATTGCCTCATAGAAGGGATATTTGCCATAGTTGCCACACTTGACAAGCGGGTTAACAAAGGCATTTTTTTATTTATTTTATTGTTGTAGACGTTTTTATACGTGATAGAGCCACGCTGCAGCTATATTATGATTGTAGCACGATGGGTCGGTTCGACCGGGAGAAGACCACGCTCTCACAGAATACCAGCGTAAAATAGCAGCTTAATGCTGCTGTGTTTCGTATGGTGAATGAAGAGAACCGGAGACCCGTTTTACTGGAATCAAAGCATTCCATCTCAGTCCTCAGCGGTGACAATACTATAATCTGTATTTTGATTCTTTTGACCATTTTACACTGGTATTCTGTGAGAGCGTTGTTTTTCTCCGGTAAAGCCGACAATTGATAGGAATATTACTTTCCATTTGGTGGTTTATTTGCTAGGTCGGTTCTATATATTTAAATAAAAAATATTATAATTTTTAAAGCATATTAAAATGTACTTTAAAAAATAAAGAACTAATTGAGAAAAGAAAACGTAAATAGGTATTAGATAATATGTTACCCGTACAATAAAATTTGCTCAGAGACGAATATAATAAGATATTACAGAGACGTCTATGGAATAGTTGCACTTTAAGGTTTTTTTGAAATGGAAATGTGTTGTGTCGAAATGGACAATATCATCAGTAAAAGGAAGACGATCGGAAAATAATTCTCATTATCTCCTGCTGTGGAAATTCGTAAATAAGAATCTAATATGATAAAGATTTGTATGGCTTTATTTTAATAAATTGTTGTTGAATCTGATACAGAGTTCACTAGTGAAACAAGTTAACAGTTTGTGTTTTAGAGACTCAATGGGAAAGAATTTGCCCTAATGATTTCTTATGTTTACACAAAATGTGTGTAGTACATTGAATGAAACTAGTTTTTACGGATTTTGTCACGGTTATTGGGTAACTTATTTTATATTCCCGAGGTTTTGAGTACTTTACAGCACAAATGGTCACGGGACTTGCCTTTATCGAGCGTGGTCCTTCCCTGGTCGAGTCAACTCTTTCGTGTTGCGGTAATGAGTTATATCTTGGCTCTATCGCATACATTTATATTATTGGCTTATATTTTTACCTGTTTAGGAAAAGAAAAAGTCCACGGAATGTAACCGAACAATTTAACTTAGGCTAGTATACTTAAACTATCTATAAGCACCGGTCAGAAGCTTTCACTAGTGGCTCCTTTTTCCTAGGACTGCTGCGATTAGGTCTGAAGAGTGTGTATTGCTGCGAGTGATTACTGCAGTTCATGGACACCTGTAACCAACCTTTCAAACAAAAAAGGCTAAAGATGCGTTGTCATTTCTGGGGACTAAGATGGAATGCCTCGTTTCCAGGAAAAGGGTTTGCGGTTTTTTACACTTGATCGAAACACATTTAAGTTATTATAGATAAACTCCTAGCGCTAATAAACATATACAATATAGACCTTATTAGCTGTGAGGCTGTGGTGGCTACAAATGCGCACTGCTCGTGAGGACATCGTCTCTCAACAGAAGAACAAGACGTTTCGTGTTGAGTTAGGACAGTCCTGTAACAAAAAAAAATACAGTCTGTCGTAGGACTGCACGTCAGAAGTAAAAATTTCTTAGCTTTACAAACCTGTAAAGATTATTTTTGAGTTGTTAAGAAATATTTTTTATTAGAAATTATTTTATTAGCAATATATTAACTTAGTAATAAAATTTTCATTTATTGCGCTGTCTTCCATGAAAAAAATGTATGTGTTATTTATTCAATCGAATTTTCAACATTACTTTCATCAACTTTATGTATCTGAATGTGTTGGTCACGAGAGTTCAGGCCTTTTTCCTAATCCCATAAGTGTCCAACGTGCTTAAGGACGCGTTTACAAAATTGATAGGTATAGAATCGCACTACTATATTGACAAAAGTCACACACACACTAGTGTACGCACGGTTGGCTGTGGGAATCGTAGTCAAATGAAATTATTTTGATAATTTGAAAGATTGAATTTGTTTTTCATTTCTTATACCTACCTCAGAAATATACTTCGATACGAAATACGAATACCTGCTCCAGAGACTGCTTGGCACTGGAAGCCCTCTACTGGTAGTGAGATGTTAGCTCTGGACTTTGAACTGGTTTTGTCAGTTATAATAAGACCTTACCTACCTGCGGACTTGATGGAGTGACCTGAAGGTGTAAATCGGTGATTGCAACTTGAACTTCTAGACTGGTAAAACTAGGTGTGCCGAATTTGGGCTTCGTTTTGTAGGTTATGACGAGACCTTACCACCGGACTTGATGGAGTGACCTGAAGGTCTAGTTCGATGATTACAACTGGAACGCCTAGACTTGTAGGACTAGTTGTGCCGAGTTTGGGTTCGTTTTGTTAGTTATGATGAGACCTTACCACCAGACTTGATAGAGTGACCTGAAGGGGTAATTCAGTAACTACTGCTGGAATTTCTGAACGAGTAGAACTAGGTGTGCCGAATTTGGGCTTCGTTTTGTAAGTTATGACGAGTCCATACCTCCGGACTTGATGGAGTGACCTGAAGGTGTAATTCGGTGATTGCAATTGGAACTCCTAGACTTGTAGAACTAGGTGTGCCGAGTTTGGGTTCGTTTTGTTAGTTACGATGAGACCTTACCACCAGACTTGATAGAGTGACCTGAAGGGGTAATTCAGTAGCTACTGCTGGAATTTCTGAACCAGTAGAACTAGGTGTGTCGAATTTCGCTCCATCAAGTCCGGTGGTAAGGTTATCGTAAACTAACAAAACTTGAAACGAAACTCGTCACACCTAGTTCTACTAGTTTAGAAGTTCCAGCATTTGTTACCACTGAATTACACCTTCAGGTCACTCAATCAAGTCCGGTGGTAAATTCTCATCATAACTAACAAAACGAACCCAAACTCGGCACACCTAGTTCTACACGTCCAGAACTTCCACCAGTACTCACCGAACTACACCTCCAGGTCACTCCATCAAGTCCGGTGGTAAGGTCTCATCATAACCTACAAAACGAACCCAAACTCGGCACACCTAGTTCTACCAGTCTAGGAGTTCCATTGTTGCAATCACCGATTTACACCTTCAGGTCACTCCATCAAGTCCGGTAGGTATGGACTCATTATAACTAACAAAACGAAGCCCAAAGTCGGCACACCTAGGGTTCTACTCGTTCAGAAATTCCAGCAGTAGTTACTGAATTACCCTTTCAGGTCACTCCAATCAAGTGTGTGTGGTAAGGTCTCATCATAAACTAAGACAAACTAACAAAACGAACCCAAACTCGGCACACCTAGTCCTACAAGTCTAGGCGTTCCACTTGTAATCACCGAACTACACCTTCAGGTCTCTCCATCAAGTCCGGTGGTAAGGTCTCATCATAACCTACAAAACGAACCCAAACTCGGCACACCTAGTTCTACCAGTCTAGGAGTTCCAGTTGCAATCACCGATTTACACCTTCAGGTCACTCCATCAAGTCCGGAGGTATGGACTCGTCATAACTAACAAAACGAAGCTAAAATTCGGAACACCTAGTTCTACTTGTTTAGAAATTCCAGCAGTAGTTACTGAATTACCCCTTCAGGTCACTCCATCAAGTCTGGTGGTAAGGTCTCATCATAACTAACAAAACGAACCCAAACTCGGCAAACCTAGTCCTACAAGTCTAGGAGTTCCACTTGTAATCACCGAACTACACCTTCAGGTCACTCCATCAAGTCCGGTGGTAAGGTCTTATCATAACCTACAAGACGAACCCAAACTCGGTACACCTAGTTCCACCAGTCTAGGAGTTCCAGTTGCAATCACCGATTTACACCTTCAGGTCACTCCATCAAGTCCGGAGGTATGGACTCGTCATAACTAACAAAACGGAGCCCAAATTCGCCACCCCTAGTTTTACTCTGCAAGAAGTTCAAATAGCGGTCACGAAAGTACACCTTCAGGTCACGCCATCAAGTCCGGAGGTAAGGTCTCATCATAACCAACAAAACGAGCCCAAACTCGGCACACCTAGTTCCGTTCGTCCAGGAGTTGCAGTAGTAGGTAAGTTTATATATCCTACTTATTTTTAGCTAAATAAAAAACTGTGAGTATAAAAATAATAATTTTATCACTTGTCAAGTACTTATGTTTCCAATTTGTTTTTTTCTAATATTTTGTGTATGTACTGCGATCTTTTCAGAATGAGCCACTGCAAACAGGCGATACAGTATCCACTCACGACGGCGGCCGAGCGCGGACCACAGAGTACATTGTATATACACGAAAGCGCGGACTGTGGTTTCATTGAAATCTTTGTACAATAAATCAAAGCAGGCACCAACAATAAAATAGCCCTTATTGCAATAGATTATGATTTATCCGTATTAGCAAAATATGTGAAAAAATGTGCATCAGTTTTTATTTTTTCTACGACTATTTGTGACATTTTGATAAAAAATAAACACAGAGTTTTTTAATTGAATATGTCTGTCATCTTATAGTATTTTTTAAATTTTTTAAATATGTTGATAATAGACCAAAATATGTACCGAAACACAAGCCGGTATCGTTAATTTTGTAGAAAATGGCAACGAAAGTTCGTTTTTACAATATAAAAAACTACTATTTTCAACAAA